GAAGATAATTTTGTGCCAAAGAATTTATATTTGATGCTGCATTTGATCGAATTGTAACTGAGGTTATTAATCACCAATCACATTTGATGAACTCATACCGACTTACAAAATTATAGAAGAATCTAAAAAGGATCAGATAAAAAGCTGGGCATAAAACAAATAAAAATCCCACTTGTATGGGTTTATCAAGAATGTATACTCGTAGAAAGGCATGTCTCAAACAAGAAATGTAGCTAAGATAATTTTAAACAAAAATATTTATTAAAACTTTTTCTGTAGAATTAACCGTTCCCTCAAAACAACGAAGTTTTAACTTCAACTTAAATTAAGCACGCGAAATCAATTTTTCAAATTATATATTTGTATCAATTCGTAAAAATTCGATATCTTTTGATCAGAATGACCTACCGACAAAAATCAGAATGAGTTTTAAAAATGAAGAGTGCAGCTTTCGTATGCAATTTTTTGATTTTGTGGCAAAAGATCAGTTTTTATGGACCTGTAAAATAAAAGTGTGCGCGATTTTTGCTATTTTTTACGATTCTCATGAGATTAATAAAATTTAGTTCTTCCATTGACCGGTCACAATAGAATTTTCACTCTTAAAGCCTAATCTTCAAATCATATAGCATGAAATTTCGATTTAAGTTTTTTAAAACGCTACTTTGTGCAAGTACGTTTTTTGAAACTGACAACTTCAGCTGCAAATTGCACCCAATTCCGTCTTTGTGGAAGCACTTAACGTGACGTGAGTTTGGTTGAAAATTTAAAGTCAACGTTTTTTAGACATATGGCAAATGCTTCATAGGTATTAACAATCAGCGACCGGTCAATCTAAAGTAATACATTTTATTGATATCATCAAAATCGTAAAAAATGACAGAAATCGCTCAAAGTTTATATATTTAACAGATTTATGGAAACTGGCATAATTTGCTTTATAATAAAAAAAATGAATTCAAATTTGCATGCGTTACTGACATTCCAAATCGCCGGTAGCTTCAAACGTTGTTTCTGAGAGAACGGTTCACTCTAAAGAAAAAGTGCTAATAAACATTTTTTTCTCATAATTATTACAGATACATTTCTTGTTTGAAATATCTTTTCCTACGCCGTACACATTCTTGCTAAATCGATTTTGTTCGTTCTCCCCCACTCCTCTCATATAAGGTAGTGTTTTACATGGAATCTTGGTGCTAAGAGTAACAAACTTTGTATTTTTTAGGACATATTTACAATCAAATAAGAGATCACTGCAGTGGAAAATTCAGAGAAGACGAATATGGAACCAACATATTACACAAATAGTTCGTGAGAAGCTACCCTGAATAGAAATTTAAGAACAGATACCAGTCACCAGGAACACCAAGATGACGAGAAAGCTAGCAGTCAATGTTATATATACGACTACAGCCTTAAGGTCGGACAAAAACATCCATAAAGACTAATATAAGCAGAAAATGAAGAAGACACTTATCACAGAGTTACTGTCAAAAAAAAAAAAAAAACGTACAATATTAAACTAGTTGTCTTAAATATCACTAAGGCATGTCTTAACAAACTGGGATCAAATAACGCTAAGTTTCTGGTAGAAAAAAAATCTTCTACAAATGTCCAGTGCTGTATGTGTACCAAGGTTACTGCATAAAATGAATCACTGTCGAAGTCAACGAGATCTTTGAAGAATACTCTTGTGAACAAGGTTAAAGTAGCAAAAATCATGCGAAGAAACCGTCAGAAAACTATAAAACAGTTAACTGACTATATTACACAGGAAATCTCTGGGGACGAGACGATTGGAACAGCGTGGTTCAGGAGATCCGTGCTCTACAATAGCCATAGCGCCGTTGAATGTGATGCTGGGGAGGCTGGTGAAGAATGATTTTGTTAAGATATTGATAATTTTAGCTATAATTCTGTTATCTTACGAACATAAAGGCAGTCATTTTGTGTATATTTTGTTCGTTCAGTGAAACATGGATAATTCGAAGTATTTCGTGAAGTTATTGTTAGGTTGAAAGTTAACATATCATTTATAATTCGAATTTATTTAGATTGTACGTGGTAGTTAATTCTTTGGGGTGATAAGGCTGCGTTGTACACGTAGTATGTCTTGTTTGAGAAGGGTTCGCCAAGAGTCAGACTGGAAGTGGTTTCAAGCCATTAGTCCTCGCAGGGCATTCAACTTGCGCGTGGCTTCATGTGCTATACTCATCACTCTTCAGTATAAATACGTGTCGGTAGCCATATTTAGCGAGAAAGCTAAGCAGTAGCAGCTAGCTGCACAAAAATTTCTACGGGGAAGAGGAAACGGCAGAGTGAAATCCACAGAAAGGTGTTTATATAGTGGCGAGGATATCAAGGAGAAACTATTATACTATTATTCTCAAGCAGAAGTAATAGAAAAAAGGCCCCTAGAAATAGTCCATGAATCTTATTGTTGTTTTTAATATGTAATAAGGAATACAATATCAGATTGTGTGATATTGTTTAATTAATTATCGTAGATTAAGGTAAAAATGACCACCGAAAAGAACAAGTAACAAATCTAGTTATTAAAATTCTAGTTAGTAAAATAAACAGTAAAGTGGCAGAGGCGTATCAAATTCTATTTTGTATAATGAACAATTCACACACAGGGAACACAACAAGTAGTGTCTATGGAATGAGCAGCAGAGATTGCAGGTAAGCAACCCCCTAACATTATCTGCCCCTAGAATATACATTCGAAAATGCACCAAACCACATTTACTGGCAACAGAAAAATACTCCTATACCAAACATTCCACAAAGTTAATTCGCTCTTGTATCAAAACCGCAAAAATTCCCACCACAACCCCAATGTACTACAACCCAAACAACCTATCTACCCTGAAACAGACAGCTAAAACTTGCAGTTACATATTCAGAAAACTTGGATATATATAGAGTCTAGTAAAGACTACGATAAAGAAAACCAATATAAAATTCATGCAAGTAATCAAACAACGTAAATTTAAATAACAAAATAACGATTCCAATTCTCCAAGCTCACCACTAACAAAAATATAAAATCGATACAATGCATTATCAATGCCGAGAGCCCTGAACAAACTGAAACAAAAAAAAATAACAGAAAATAGCAAAACCACCTCCAATATTCATATATGGCATTAAAAATTTTAAAGATATGGTAGATAACTTTGCACAAATAGTTTGTGAAACCTACTATACCAGAATTCTGCCAAACGACACTGTCAAGATTACAACCAATACAATAGATGCCTAACGTGAACTGATAAAGAATGTAAGAAAAAAAGAAATCATTAACCACACTTACCAAATAAAGGAAGAGTGTGCCCACAGAGTGGTAATAAGACTATACTATATATCCACAACATATATAGCAAAGGAACTAAAAAAGACCGGCTATAAAGTTCGCAATATAACCAACATCCGACACAGACAAACAAAGAAACATTCAAGTATCTATATTTTTCATATACCTTAAATCCAAGAGTAACAACAAAGACATATTTGTAATAGAATTCTTATCTTATGTCATACCAAAATAACAGTCGAGGCACCAAAGAAGAAAATCTCAATCATCCACTGGATGCGATGTCAAGCATGGGGTCATAGTGAAATATATTGTACTAAACCGCACTATTGCGGCAAATGAAGTACAACATGATACAAAATCGTGTAAAAACCTAGAAACACTCCAGCTAAGTGTGCACTATGCTAACAAGATCACCCTGCTAACTATAAGCGCTGTGTAGTCAACATGGAACTAGTAGAAAACGTATATATGACAAAAAAAAAGGAAACAGTCCCAAATAACAACATTCAATAGCCTACATGTACGTAATGAAACAAATCTCTAAAAAACCAGCAAAGAACATATGCAAACGTGACAGCACTTTAAACCAACCATGAACCAAAACCTAAATTTGATATAGAACTAATAACATTCCTTAACAAGTTTAAAAACATGTTCTCGCAAGTCATGAGTCAAAATAGTTTGATATTAAACTTAATGTCACAAATCATTAACCAAATAAATTCTTAAACATACTTAGAATGTCCACATGGAACGCTAACGGCCTCCTAACCCATAGGCAGGAAGTAATTACTTTCTTAAGCCTGAATAAAATCACTGTACTGCTTATCTCAGAAACCCACTTCAAAGATCTAACTACGTTTAATATTCCTCTCAATACCACATACAGCACACCTCACCCCGATGGTGCAACTCATAGTGGCTCGGCTGTAATCACCCGCAGCTGCATGTCCCATCATGAATTGCTAAAATATGTAACAGAAAAAAATGTTCAAGTGAATGCAACGCTATATTCTACAGCCCACCTCATCACGTAATCTCCACTATGATCCAATTACTTGGCAATAAATTCGTACCCAGGGGAGACTCGAATGCGAAACACAAACACTGAGGCTCAGGAATAAGATAATAAAAGGTCTTAATCTTTTAAAAGAATTGACCGACAAGAACTATAAACCTTGTACAGTTATTAGTAAAGTAACTTCCTTTTTATCGTGGACCTGATACTGGTCTGAAATTGTAGAGCTCGAAGTTGGTCGTCTAGATTAAAATAAAACCAAATGTGACTAATTGCTTTTCCTTTTTTATCTTACCTCTCTATTATTCTCTTGTTTAATCTACATATACTCATACATTACTGATACTTTTCGATTATTGTATTCAAGCTACTGTAGACTGAGTAAAAATAATAATAAATCTTTATGTCAGTTGTTTAAATGCTTTTCCGAATTCAAAGTTTAAACAAATCTATTTTTTACAGGTTTTTTGAGCTTTAAATTATCCAAGTTCCCCTGCTTACCGGTAAGCTTTTATATGAATAAATATTATTAAACACACCACTTGAATTATATGTCAAATACCAACTTAGTTATTCATTAAACATTTTCCGTCAGCTATCACTTGTCGAACTGTGCCAAAAATTAATACTGATGATAGTACGGTAAGTTACTGTTATTACCCCTCACAGGTTGCCCCATCGAAAAAGGTTGCGAAGCTGAAAACGCACCATATTCATGAGTGTTGGCTCTTCTTTGATCTAGATTGGAATGATGATGAATTGATTGTTGGAATGGACGGTTCTCGTGGCGGTTGAAGCCCATTGCAGGCTTCATTCCGCTGGAGAAAGCTGGAGCGTGACTGGAAGAGCTAGCGTTATAACCAGACTGCTTACCTGATTCAATACGTAGGTTAGGTGGTGGAGGCGTTTTAGTCTTGTCAAAATCATCTAAATGCCTAAATTTTTTACCCTGCTGTCCTCTGCTTCTTCTAGATCTGGAAGGTGATCTGGTTCTTTTGTAAGTGTTATAATTATTCAGATCACTTAATTTGTTATTTAACCTTTCCTTTAACTGTTTGGTTACCTCTAGCTGTCTATTCAGCTCTTGTTTGAGATTATCTACCGCTACCATTTTCGATTTTATTGAATGTTCGAAATTTTCTTGGTCCAAAATTAGCTTTCTGCGTCTTTGGCGATTTTCCGTTTCCATCTTTTCCATTTGGTTTTTTAAGTTTTTATATTTGGAATAAACTGTGTCGTATTTTTTTTGGATATCTTTCAGACTCGGTTTTAGGCTACTATTTTTATTATTCACAATTTTTAACTCGTGTTTTAGTCTGCTAATTTCTCTTTTCTGCTTTGCAATGATAGAACTTGAATTTCCATCTGTATTAGATACTTCTGATACCGATTTTACATTATTTTCGTTATTAGATGTTCTTGCAGTCACGTTGTTTTCTTGCTTTAACACATCTGTATTATCTTCTTTCGTTTTAACTTTAGTCTCAGCTTCTTTTATACATGGCTTTGTTGTGGAAAGAATGATATTTTCTCCATTAATCGCAGTATTGTTTAGCTTTTCGATACATAGAGCAACCTGCTCTGCATCTTTCATAGTAACATAAGCAAAATAGTTGCTGTTGTTGGTTAAAATTTTGACACCTTTTACTTTTCCGATCTTGCTAAAAACTTCCCTAACATCAACCGCTTTAATATTACAGTTAAGGTTAGATACCCAAATGGAGTTTTCTTTAGCGTTTTTCCGCTCTTTATTGCAATCCGATCCATTAACTTTGGTGATCTTGATCTCCTCTCCTGCGGCTTCGGAATCAACTGGAATAGTTAGCTTGGTTGAATCTACAAACAAAAATAAAATACGTTTGATTTGTTTACTAGATTTTCACCAACATGATTCCTACCAGAAGTACTGTTTTCGGTCTGAATAGTATCTTCAGATTCAAATTTAATTTTTAGATCTAAATCCTCCTCATCCTCTCGAGTCTCGACATCGTTTTCGGTAATAGGATCCTCAGTAATTAGGAAGGACATTTTCAACTTGTGGTCCTAAATAAAAAAAGGAAAATAAGAAAAAAGAAAATAAAATATTTAAAAAAATAAAAAAAAAACAACAAAAATTAAGAGGGTTCTACATGTTCACAAACGGTTTCATAAAAGAAACATGGACATTTTGATATTAATTTATTGCAATTTTTTTTTGTAGAGGTATAGAAGATCTTCTTCTTCCAAGACGTATTTTCTTTAAATGCTAGCAATTGTTTTTATGAATAGTTCGATAGGTGACATTACTGTTAACTCTTTGATTTTAGTTCACATACGATATTCTTCGCCCAATTACGCCTCTTCTGCCTTCAAGTTTACCATCAGTATTCATTGTTATATACCATAATTATAACAATGATAATAAATACATTTATTTTCTTTGACGTCTCCAAAATACATGAAATGAATAAGCATACAATAGTAACACGAATCAGATATCTTGGGTTCAATTCCTATTGGTAATAAATGAAGTTTTAAAAAGACTTTGACAAAGTCAATACACACAAACTTGTTGACATTGTTAAAAAGAAGACTCTCAATACGCCTGAGCAATCAAAACAAACAAAAATATGTACAAAAATACAAAATCACTCAGTTGACTTACTTGGGTTCTATCTTGTAGATATTATCTATATTTTTGGTGAATATTATTTACATAATATATATATATATATATATATATATATATATATATATATATATATATATTATGTAAAAGATTAAATTTTCTAGAAAAAGCTGCTATCGCTTCGTTGAATTAACTGACCAAATATATGGCCTAGGAGGAAAAAATTCGTTAAAATTCATATGCTCGAATCGGTATGAATAGAGTGTTATGACTCATTTCAGAATTCCTGCTTTACTGATACAAATTTAAACTCAGAAAGTCCAAAGAATGTCTCCTAAAACTTGACCCCTACAGTGGTTAGCGTAAAGATGTGCCACCTGCTTTGGTGGCCATGAACGAAAACGATTTAATATCGTTTTCTGTCCTCTGGGCTATACAAAATGTGTAAAAGATGAAATCTTTTAGTAAAAGCTGTTATCGCTAGAGATCACATTGAAGGCAGCAATCATAGGCAACGTAAACTTCAATTATCATATTTCGACACTCAGAAATCAAATACTAAACCAATTATCCCTAAACCCTCTCAACCAATGAGAAGGCCGTCGTCCCAATTTACAAAATGTACAAATTGTGACCGCATTGTCAATTAAATACCGAATGCGGCCATTCACGTTTCAAACTAACAAACCAAATCCTTTCTAGACTACCCGGTTACCAAAACCAATATAATGGTGGACCAAGAAACTATCAAAATAATTAAAACTATAATAGAATCAGTGTTACTCCAATAAGCGAATTTAAACCCACAGAGAACTTCTTTTTCATCTCAAAATCAAAATAGTCCGTCTGGTATTCAAAGAAATCCAAATTTCCAAAGGTTACATATTTTAAACGAATACTTTGATGAAATAACGGAAAACTATTACACAAACGACAAATACTACATATACAAAAAATATATACAATTATGATACAGATTTTTAAACAAAAAATAATCTACAGACCGATTATTATAATAACAACACCAATAATACACCCACAACAGAAAATTATCATGATTTTCTTTTACTTCGCAGTCAGACCATCCTCCAAATTCAACATATATTACGGAAATACAAGAATAAATCCAAACACTCAACTTAAACGATTTCTACCCGAATCTCAACTTTTCAGAACAGATATTTAAGCCCTTTTCATACAAGGATTTCCAAAAATTTATATTACGTTAATAATGCTAAAAATTCTTTTAAACTTATAATTGACACCGGTGCTGGAATCACTGTATTTAAAAAAAAAACACAGCAAGAAATTTATCATAATAGATTTCCCGAGAAAGTTTCAAGACAAAACCGACGAAAAATTTTTAATTACAGAATCTGTCCTTTATCCTCTTACTAAAGATAATCCTCACTAAGTTTTTTATTTTTAATTTAGACATTGATTTCAATGGCATAATAGGTCCAGATAACCTAGGCCATTATGAATGTGTAACAGATCTAAAATCTCGACAATTGCCTACAAATTTTAAAAACCCTTACCCTTCACAAAAAATGGAGAGCCGAAAGTCAGTTAAAATTGTACATGTAGACCAAAGAAAGTTCTAGAAACGTCAATAGGACTATTTGCATAGTTCATATAGAAAATAGAACGATTCGAACCTTATTTATTGCTAGATTATTCTGGAACCAGGAAAAATATATAAATACCATGTAATTTGGAGCAGATCATCAGTTAGAGATCAGTTAGTGAAATAGTTAGAAGAAATGAAGTCAATTACAGATTATGATTATAGGAGGAGTTAGTAAGAAGAATTCAAGGCATTAAGTTACAGATTATTATTAAGTTAGAGTTGATTCGTGAAGTGAGTTAAGTTACAAGAAGTTACAGTCAATTATTAAGTGAATTAGTTTAAAGGATTTAAGAATTCAAGGATTATTAAGTCAGTTACATGTGATTATTAATTACAAAGAAGAATTAAGAAGAATTTATGAGGTTATGAAGAGATTATTAGCTAGAAGAAGGCACTGATTAAGTTAAATGATATAGTGATACTGAGTAATATAGTGATAGTATGAAGTTAATCCATCGAAGTAAGCATTCAACAGTACAACCACAACATCCAGTATATTTGAAAGTACATTATATTTATGGAAATTACAAGGATTTAAATTTATGTATTTATAGGGTGAGTGGAAAAAATTAATTAGGAAGAAACATATTAAAACTGTTGGATAACCAAGGCTGAGTAATAAGATATCGAGTGGTGATTATAACATTGATTGTGGAAGACTTTAGGCGTTTAGTGACAGAAAGGTACCAAATTTTGTTCATAATTTAATAATTGTAAGAATTTTAAATTTTAGATAGATTGTTTTAAATTGATATTGCTTATATTAGATAGTTATGTTTGTTTCATAATAGTTATAATAAAGATAATTTAAAAAAGTACTTACAAACTAATTCTTTGAATACCGCGATAAAAACCCTATACTTACATATATCATTCAAATTTACTCATAGCTCATACAGAAACAACTATATATATATATATATATATATATATATATATATATATATATATATATATATATATATATATATATATATATATATGTATAATATAGTATATATGGCGGCGTTATGCATCACTAGACAAAGCGCCATTTTCTCAAATTGTGCATTATGACGCTTTCTCTTGAAAAATAGCATAAACTATCTACAGCATAAATCCCATTAATCTTTTAGTAACGGTTAACCAGATATATTTAAGACCAAGTACCGTTCTTATTCTTATTTTTGAATTTTGCATCACTAGACCAAGCGACTAATTTTGTGTAATACTTTTGCAACAGTAGACCAAGCGCCTCTTGCGAGCATTTTAATGATTGTATATCGAATATTTGGGAACATGCGTACATGAAAGTTGTTGACGATAACTTGTTGAGTCGTTTAGGTTAAGGCTGTTTTATCGGTGCACCAAAACCTAGGAACTGTTATTTACCGACAAAATGTCTCGAAATTTTTACACAATATTCGAAACTATGTTGCTTTTAAAATGATGGTTTTACTTTTTTTATTTTTTTGTTACTTCTGTTGAAAAATTGGATTATACTGTTGAACGTTCCATTATAACCAAACTTCCATCCAACCAAACACCTATCGCTTGAAAGAGTTTTTTTTTCTGTAATCGTTAATTTTTTTTCACCTTTCTGTGTCCAGTAATAATCGAGAAAAGCTTGTTAAATCTTTGAAGAAAATTGCTAAAAAATACTAAAATCTAATAGTGAAAGGTGTTACTTATTATTGTCGGTTAGGTTCACCGTTATCGCCTTCGTGACTTCAAATCTCATGAGCGTACGGTCAGTTAGTTCGTGTTAAAACTAATTTGAATGGAGAGTAATGCATTTGTTGCCCGTTGGCCGACGCCACTGAGTAAAGATAGTCTCGCGTAAGCAGTGTAGAAATGTAAGTGATACGCCTATTTCAAATCGCAGTATGCTTGAACTGCTAAAACAGCCTTAAGAAGAAGTAGCAGTTATATTGCTTAAATTGTTCTACAGATGCACAAGAAAAATTACTGCAGATGCCTTCAACTTCTAAAGGAGAAACAACAAGTAACATTATTTTTCAGCAGGGACAAAAAGAAGAGAAAATAGCATTATACAGATGCACAAGAAGAATCACTGCAGATGCCTTCAACTTCTAAAGGAGAAACAAGAAGTAACATTATTCTTAAGCAGGGACAAAAAGAAGAGAAAATAGCATTATACAGATGCACAAGAAGAATCACTGCAGATGACTTCAACTTCTAAAGGAGAAACAAGAAGTAACATTATTCTGCATCAGAAACAAAAAGAAGAGAAAACAGCAAAGTGATAAAACACTATTCGCCCATGGGAAGACCAAACAAAGGGAGAATACGAAGTACTTAACTGAAAGTCGCGAATCAAGAAAAAGAAGTTGTATTCAAAACAAGAGTTACTTCACACAGAAAAATGTATGTAAATAATCAAAACAGTTCCGTATGTATCTTTGTAAGTGTAAGTGTTTGGACAAGATTGGTATGGATAATGCCAAAAAAGAATTTCATAAGTTCTACAATGTTGAATCTCATGATACTCAAAGAGCTGTAATTTGTTTAAATATTTCCGTAGTCCCAATAATGCGTAAAAGAACAAAAACCAGTAACAAAAGAAATACGTACTACAAGGATATCACAATACCCGCTGTGATAGTGTGTAAACCTTTATTTGTACAGACCTTGAGAATATCAACTTGCAAAGTCAATGCAGCATTGAAAGCTTTGAAACGTCTAATGGGTGTTCGAGATTGTCATGGTCAAAGTAGGGGTCATAATAAAATTAACTAAAATCGTTTACATAAAGTAATTGAGCACATAACGAAAATTTCTAAGTACAAGTCACATTACAGAAGA